AGAGCTGTATTTTCAATCATAGCTACAACAAAACAGAACAGATTTGAACATGATTTGTAATGGATTTGAAGAGCTAATTGGAGCCCAATTCATCATAGTCTATAAAAGAGGAAGCCTACACACATCAAATAGGTTGGAGAGTCTCTCTTTGAGGCTGGTCAACCTCTCTTTTAGAGAGAAGGTGGGCTTTTGGAGGAGATCCAAGCCGTGAAACACTTAGAGAGATTTTGATGGTTTGTTGGCAGAGATCATTGATAGAGAGAGGCTAGGGTTTGATAGAGAGATCATTGAATCCGGTGGATCCCTGCACTATTCCGACGGCTGAGATATGGTGGATGGTGGCGGAGCCCATGGTTGTTGCGAGAGCAGAGCTACAACAACGCCCCTATTTATTTTATTTTAGTTTTATGGAATCTTTATCCCTCTTTGTTGTTTCTTTTTATTCAAGTATGACCTAAATTGTTAGGATTGGGTGATAGAGTACCCTTATTGTGATGTAATCATTTTGCCTAAACTTTGCTATATGATTGTCCTTTTAATTGTTTAATAAAGTGCTTATTTTATCTCTATTCTTGTTAACTTATCGAGAGAGAGCTGCAAGATACTTAGGGTTTAGGCTATAGAGATATAGGTGAACTCAAAAATTTATTAAGCATTGTGGTTTAATTAATTTAATTGGTTAATTGTGAGTAGAGAGATCATTCACACCATAAAATCACATGGAACTTGCACTTAATGGATTTATAACTATGTTGGCCATAGAGATATGGAAGTAGTATATATGTACTATTGGTGAGAGCCCTTGCATGCATTAGTATTCTGATTACTTATTGGATAATTGCTATAGCATTGCTACTGCATTCTGGTGAAATTACAATATTGGGGAAATTGATCCCAATCTACTTTGTTACTTGACTTTTCTGTTCTTGAGTGCACTTTTAGTTTATTTTTACTTTGCTTTTAGTTATTAGTCAGTAGTCAGTATTACTTTAGTCCTTAGCTCTTAATTCATAAAACTTTCATAAACATTGTTACTTTTATTGCTTCACATTGATCCTAATTTTATAGTTTTCTTCGTGAGAACGATATCTGGACTCACACATCCAGTTTAATACTTGTTGACACGTGCGCTTGCGTTAATGTGTGATGGATAAAAGGGGTACACATTGCACAACAAATTCTGACTAAGAAATGTAGAAATTCATCTTTAAGTAAATCCAACAAAAAAAGTCATAAAGAAAAAAAAAATCATGTTCATTACTTCTCACCAACGTCTAGTGCAGAAAACCAAGAAAGAGATTCAAAATACAAACCAGAATTCGAATATAATGTTCAGAATCAAATGGGCTTAATAATTGAAAGCTGAAATCACAAACTACACCAGAGAATCCGAACTTGTTGAATCCCTTCAAGAGAGTCTTCTTTTCTTGTGCTTGTGTTCAAGAGAAACTAAAACTAAACTAAAAACTTGTAAATTTTTCTGATCTAAAAGCTACTCTAACTGTGTCAAACTGCAAGACTCAAAATCCTAATTAAAACTAAACTCAAAACTCCAAAAGCATTTCTATCCACTAGATCTTTCTTCATCCAATGGTCTACATCCTTCAAACTTCAATAAATTGGTCACATGCCTTTTAATTTATGCAATAAAGTGGCAAAAATAGTAAGTGAATTAATCAAATTGTCCTCTTTTTTATCCTTTTACCAACATGGGCTTATTCCTTTGGCCCACTTTACCTACATTTTAACAAGTTATAGCCCAAATATCAATAGAAAAAACACTATTAACTCAAGTAAAATTAAAGACTAATAGTAACCAAAATTGGAGTTACAGGTAGCGAGGCTTCCACAATTGATACAACACCACAACAGATACAACATCGTATTGTGCAATAATTTTTTAGCTATGTGTAGGACATGTAATGTATGTAGCTAGGTCAATATGTGCTACCACATGTGAAGGTGGCAAAACGGGTCGGCTCACCCCGCTGCCAACTTGCGAAAAACAGGTTGGCCCACCCGTCCCGCATTTTGATATGGGTTGAAAATCCCAACCCATCCCATTTTATGGTGGGTTGGCAGGTCAACTTTCTTAAAAAATTAATAAGTAGTATTACAATCCTTTTAGTTTTTTTCTAATCTCAAGCCTAAATTTATACTAATATTCAGTCAGACATTTTTTAGGAACTTATTTTTGCCTCCATATATGGATAACCTTTGTCATAAATAAAGTTTTTCTTCTTTATTTTTCTAGGGGAGTACTAAGATAAAACAAATTCATATCACAAAAGCTTAGTGACAAATAAAATACTACATAATAATAATAATAATAATAATAATAATAATAATAAAATTGACCTGCGGGCCAACCTGCCCCAACCCACCGTCAACTCGTTTTGACCCACAACTAAGCGGGGCGGGTTGAAATATTTAACCCAACCCGCCCCGTTTTAGCGGGTTGACCCGTCGGGTTCAACCCATATTGCCATCTCTAACCATATGTTATATTGCGGTGGCAGGCAGATTCATGAGGAGCCCATGGCGGGGGACCAACACCAATGGACTAATCTACACCAACCATAGTAAATGGACCTGACATCATGTCTTAACAAACAACCTTAAAGCTTTGGGTTGTGACATGGTGTCGAACCCACTTAATGTGGTTGATCTAGCTTAGCTCATTGATGGTGGTCTCCCACTACGAGCTCCTCCTAGACCCGCATGACAGTGGTATGAGAGTCGGGTTGGGCTCAGACTAACCGGATGTTTGGCTAGGAGGTGGGTTGAGTACTTTGGGCTTAAGTACTCGGTTGAGGGGAGTAAACCAATGTTGGGTTTCACACTTGAGGGGGAGATTGTTGGGATATTCAAGTGTGATGAGTCACACATTGGTTGGTAATGAGCTAAGTGAAGTGGATAGACCAATAAACCCAATGTTTTAAGGTTTCGGGTTGTGATGTGGTGTCAAACCCACTTAATATGGTTGATATAGCTTAACCCATTAATGGTGGTTCCTAGTACAGGATCCTCTTGGACCCGCCTGACATGCAGAAAATCAAAGTTTGGAAATATTAATTACCACAATTCCAAAACTTAGGGGATCTCTTCATCTATTTGGTAATCCTAAAATTTCGCTTGTGTAATCTTCTTACGTAAATAATAAATATATTACTAAGATAAATCAACATTTATTTTTTATAGTCCTTACGTAATTGAAAAATACACTCTAAATATTGGAAATTCTAAAAATAATATGTCCATCTTATGAGAAAATTAAAATTTCATCTATGTATAAATATGAAAATATAAATACCCCAATATTAAATTCATTTCGAGTAGAGAAAAATATTGAGATCGCATAAGATCAATTAAAGAATTTTTAGAGTGCATATTTGTTTATTGGTCCCACATGAGCTTAAGAAAGATTGAGTTATGTGACATTTTTTATTAAATTCAATGCAAATTATCCGATTGTTGATAATTATCCCATTTATGATGATTATCTATCTTATGATGAAGATTCAGTTTATGATGATAAGCCAGTCTATGATAAATCTGATGGAGAATCAAGTTATGGAGATTTAAAAGAGGAAGATTTATCATATGAGTTTTTTTCCAAAGAAATTGATATCAGTGGAGATAAACAAGATTCGAGGACTAATCTTTTTCTAGCAGAGGAGAATGATGCACTTACAGTTGACCCATTGTACATGGCCCAACCATTGATTGAAGAAACTCGTAGTCAACTAGAGTTGTGGCCTAATAAATATGGCCCAATTGTTGAAAGAGGCAACAACAAATTACAATCGAATCCAAGTCCTAATAAAGCAGCAGATGTGATTGTGATTTGTTTGGGAAGAAAAGGAAAACAACATATTTGGAATGATTTGAGATTAAAGATTTGGGATGTATTTTGAATTATTTATTTGTAATTTTTTATTTATTTTTTAGATGTTAATTACTTTTATTTATTTTAAGAAGTTTTATTATTTTTAGAATTTTAGATTTAGAATTTTGAATCAATTTGTAATTAGTCTATAAAAGGGTGCTTATAACCCTTATTCTAGGAGTTGAATTTTGTTATTTGAGAATTAGAAATTGAGAACCGGAGGATTACTCTTTTATGAAAATCCTAGCTTTCTGTTTAGCCACTTTTCTATGTGCTTTCGGCATCACTTTTGGTTTGGTTGCATGTTAATTGTTATGGTTGAGGGTAAAACACTTTATGTCAGTAAATAGTTAAAGAGTGAAGTAATCGGAACAGTGACCATTGTGCCACTGTTCACCAACTTTTTTACCTAAATGCCACGCGAACAGTGTTATTTTCCAATCTGTCACGGGGCAAGTTCGCTTCTGACACAAGCGACCTCGGTTTGCTGACGTGTCAGCTTCCTGATGGTGTCAGAGTTCGCTTCTGACACAGGCGACCTCGGTTCCAACAGTATTTTTAATCAAGTTCGCCTACATGGTAGGCGAACTTCATTTTTTTTTTGAATTTTTTTTTAAAATCTAATACTTGTTATCCACTAAAAATGTGACACGTCAGCAAACCGAGGTCGCTTGTGTCAGAAGCGAACTTGCCCCCGTGGCAGATTGGGAAATAACACTGTTCGCGTGGCATTTAGGTAAAAAAGTTGGTGAACAGTGACATTTTGGTCAGTATCCCGAAGTAATCAACATCAAGTCCTTTTTTTATTTTTAAAAAAATCAATATTTACTAAGTTGACAGAATTCAAAGTCAAACATTTGGTTTTTTAAGATTGAAATCACACAGTAATGTAAAGCAATATATAGGTTTGAATTGTAACTTAAATGATTGTTCATTGATTCCTTGGTTCTTAGAGAAGGTTAGAAGGTTACTATGATAGTAGATGACAGAGATATTCATCTGGCAATTTTGTTCTGAAACCTGAAAGTGCTCAGCAAAATTTAGTGTTAAAAACTGAATAAGCAGTGTCAAGCGGTTGACTTGAGTTGGGGAAAGAAGGGTCCATATGGAGATGGAAGGGAAGGGGTTTTCTGGCTTATACAAGACTTCAAGTGAGGAGCTTTTCCTGAAAACAGTGATGGAAAGCCCTATTGGAATGCCAGTACCAACCATGGATATGCTGAGTTTCAAGGCTGTTTCTCAAAGCTTTCACACAGATAGTGAGGAGCTCTTCAAACGCTGGCTAACAAACGAAGAGGCAAGACCCTGTGTTATATTATATTAGATCATGTTCTTTTTCCGTTTTCTTGTTTTTTGTCAAGCATTAGATCAAAGCAGAAAATTTTCATGACACCACTTTGCTTGAAATACATAATTCCTTTCGAAATTTTTGAAAGAACTCCTGAATTCTGTACCTATGACCTGTGCCTATGAAACAACATCTACTATTTATTTAACTATGTTCAGAAGCATAGAAAGTGAAAAATTTGGTACCATAATTCCTAGTTTTGCTATTTTCATTCACCGTGCCACTCCCCGTTAAACCCCGCTTAGCAAGGTTTTGCAGTCTTATCCTTGCATATTTTCAAAGAGGTTATTTTCCGGATTCAAAGCCGTGAACACGGCTTCAAGCTTGCCTTTTGTATTCATTCACCATATGACCTCATTATTTTTAACATGACTTTTTTCTGAAAGGCTTGGTTTTCCTATGTAGACATTCTTTTGACTATGGAAATTGTGATTTATATTGATTGTCTTGTGATTTTCTTTACATCATTTCTGACTACACTTCAATTGAATTGATAAATCTTCGTTTCCTAAACCAGGGATATAACTCATCAAGCAAAGGACCTACTAGTCGATTATCACAGAGGTGAGTGTTTTGATTAAAGATCCGCTTTTTGAAAAGCATTAAGAAGGTAGGTTTCAAAAGTGATTTGAATGTTTCCGTTATCAGTGTTTATCAAGATACAGTTGCAAATAGTTTGGCTTTCTTGCTGATCCTTTACCATGTAATAGTTCTGGGTAGATCATTGTTTACATATAAGATTAGAGTTGGTAGAGTCTTGTGTTTTATAGGAATATTTATTCACTTAACTGTTATTTGTGTGTTATAGGGATATTCATTTTCTTGGGAACACTCCAGTTGCTGATTCGTGTTTTAGTTTGACATTTTGATTCTGTTTTAACTGCAGGGTGTCCTCTGAACCATCTAATCTGTCTAATCAGCAAAATGTCTGTGTAGTTTCTGAGGAAAGAAGCAATGACAAATTATATATGCAAAATAACCCTTTGCCTAGTGATTTTTCAGCTGATTTCAATCAATTTCCTATCAGGTAATTGCAGTAGCCTACCTGTAACAGCTAAACTTGTGAAATAGAACCTTCTTGATTATCTCCTTTGTAATTTGACTAGTAACTAATACAGTTATTCATTTGATTAAGAAACTAGTTCAATATTTACAATTTAGTTTTCTGTCAAATTTTGCTAGAGATCCTTTGGATAGAGAACTGCAATCAAGTAACTTGTTTCTTGCCAAGGTTTGTTCATATCAAACTTTGTGCTTAAGCCTTGGTTCAATAAAACTTCATGGTCGTTTGATGTCATTATTAATGCAGGCCTGGTTTCTAAGCGATCAACGAATGACAAGAAGCCGATCCTCTGAATTGCGGTATGATTTTCTCATCTTGTTAATGTTCATCTAAATCATATTCACGAGTTACTTAAAACAATACTTGGCTCGATTAGGGTTATGAAAAAAACCATATGAACCAAGAACTGTATCATAAATAATCACATTTTGTGAATCATTTTAAGAACTGAACCATATTTTTATATTTAAACTTCTTTATTTAAGTTAATCTTAACTGTTCGAAAGATATTTTGAACCACTTACTTGATAGGCTTTCTTTGCAGGCGGAGATATGCTGAACTCCAAAATGTTCAAGCAACACAAGGTATAGAGTCCATGAGCATGGTGACCCCTCAAAATGGTGTTGACATTATAAAGCAAGAAGTTTCAAATTCAAATGGTTTTGATTTTCCTTTTATGTGTGAGCTTCCATATCAAAATGGTGCATTCGTGTCTCAATCCAACACATCTTCATCTACCTTCAACACACATCAATTGGGTGATACAGATAAAGTTTCATCTTGTGTAAGTATGCTAAAAGGTACATTAGAACTTAAGCAACTCAGCAGCCAGGTAGAAAAACAAGATCTTGAAGATAGATCAAGCGAACCTTTTTGTCCTCAAGATGCTTTCTTCAAAACTGGTTTTAGTGAAGGACACGAAAACTGGAGTCATCAAATGCTAACAAATGTTCAAGGAGCTTCTACTGATCAAGTTGAGGATCATGGAGTCATGCAAACACTTGAAGCATCCATAAACCTTGACTTGGATGGTTTAGCAAATCAGACAAATGCAATATACTTGGGAACAGCTTCTCAGGAACCTTCTCGAAGCGAATCTTCTGCCCTTGTGCCAGTAGTCTCCTCTGGTTTAGATGGATGTGAGGGTCCAAGCCATTCAAGTCAAACTCTTTGTGAAAACTCATGGAAACAAGTGGGAGTGAGTAAAAGTTCAGAAAATAGAGTTAAAGGTATAATATGATGATGGACTTGCACTAGTTGACTTAAGGAGTTTGATTGCTATCCGTGATCATCATTGTTCTTTGCACATCTTGCATCATTTTCATTTACTATGGTATCTCAATCTATTAATATGCTTTGTCTATTAACTACTAAGCACATAAGAAACTTCTCACAGTGAATTGTGATATGTGCATAATTCTCATCATTTTGTGAAATACTCCATATGACCAATGTAATATGGATGGAATAAACACTATAAGTTCCTCAGAGAAATTGAATCAAGACAATCTGGTTTGCATTATTTAGAGTCTCACCATAATTATGTCTGATTTCTTATATAATTCATATTTGGCATTCAAGTTTCATTGAAGGTCAGAACACGTTAGAAATGTTCATTGATTATCTGATTTCAAATTTAGTTTTAAACTAAAGTCATTTTGGGTCTCTAACAAAAAAATACGGTCCTCACTTTCATCCCTTACAAAAAAAAAAACCCCATATTAATCCTTTTTTAAGGACTAAATTAGATTTTCATTAAATTTCTGAGGGACTACATTTTCAAAGAACTGGAATTGTAGAGGGACCAAAACTTGACTTTTTATTGTAAGGGACAAAAGTGAAGATTGTGTTTTTTGTTAGGAACCCAAAAGTGACTTTACTCTTAGTTTTATTAGACTATAAATATGTTTTTCTTGAACAACAGGTTTCAGAGAACAGATGATGGATAATATGAAAGATGACATGAAGGTATAAACTAAACTTAAATAAATACTAACCTATAAATATGTTGTGATCAAATAACATGATCATATGACTATTTTTTTCATGTTATTTAATCATAAATACTCATTGATGATGACATAAGAGAGAAAAAAAATATATGATTCTTAAATGAGCGGTTGTGATCAAATAACATGACCACATGATCATTTTTTCACATATGAGAATCCAAATCCATTTTATCTAGAAATACTGCTGTTTGAGACTTGACCGATATATTTTGGCTATTTACATATTTATTTATTTTTTAATTTTGGTTTGTCTGGCTAAGTTGTGCAGAGAAGTCTAGAAAGATATGGATCTGTGACATCAGCTTTTTCAGGTAGCGAGAGTTATTGTGCTCTAAAGCATACAAAAGAATCAAAGAATTTTGATTCCTCTCATTCCATTCTGTTGCTTTTGTAATTTGAGAAAACAAAGATTATTTTTCTTAGAGGTACTTTTGTGAGTTCTACAGTTAGATGATTGCAATCATTACTGCAGTAGTAGTGATCATATTATTTCTATTTTCTCACCGAGTGCTTCCCATTTTCTAGCATGCTCTATAGTTTTAGATTATTGTAAGTCCACAATCTCGCAGAATACATTTTGTTTTTTATTAGATCGAAGAACTTCTTAGATACTGAGGACTCTGGAGAGGAAGTTGAATACATGATTATGTAGAATTTTTTGGTTGTTCTTTAGTTTGATTCTCTCTCCTGCTCTAACCAACAGATTGTGCAGAGGACAAGGAGGATGTCACAAAAAAGCGTAGGGTGGAGCGGTCACGAAAGTATGTAACATAAAAAGAGTATTCTCTTTCTAACACTATTGGAAAATTGTAATTTTAAAATGGTTTTCAAAATCATCATTTTAATAACTTGATTAGTATATGTTAAGAAAGCAGATATTCATATATTTTTTAAGAGTACATAGCAGACATGCCACATTGTAGTATTATTAAGTATTAACACCTTGCACACTTTCCCACATTCTTTCAAGTCTTTTATCAACATTGTTTTAAGGGTTTCCAATGTGAACTTTGGCTTCCATTGTCATTAGAGGCTAATTTTTAATACTGTCCACTGCTTTGTGCATCTCTCTCTCGTATATTTCTAACCCATGGGTTTTGCCATACGGAGTAAAAACCACCTTAATCTAGGAATTACCCCCAGGTTCAACAAAAAAAGCCAACTTAGCTTCTTAATCAACAAAGTGGCAATGTTAGTTGGAAAAAGAGAAAGAACATAAAAAAAATGAGTAAAATAACTTTTGGGTCCTCAACAAAAATGACAGGCCCATTTTAATTTCTTAGGGAAAAAAAAAAAGTCAATTCGTGGTCTCTCTGAAATTCAAAATAAACTCAGTTAGTTGAAATTATGGTCCCTCTGAAATTCAAAGAAAATTCACGTTAGTCTCTCAAAAGGACTAACATAGGTCTATTTTGAATTTAAGAGGAATCACGAGTCAACTTTTTTTTCTAAGGGAATAAATTAGACCCCGTGATATTTGTTGAGGACTTAAAACTTACTTTATTCTAAAAAAAAAAAAAACACAAAGCTAAGATGATTATATTTGTTCTTTTCTTGTAGTTACTTCTGTCTGACTAATCACAATCTAACTATCTTACCCAAACAAGAAGTTCGAAGACTGTTTTCTTCTATACATTTTTGTAAACTGCTTGTTCAATCCACTTAGGACCATTTACAATCCATATGTTGGTTTTTTTATTATTATTATTATTATTATTATACGTCAGATTTAGCAGTTAACACCCTTATTAAAGCATTATTTTTGTAATTGTGATGCAGAATGGCTGAGGCAAAGGAAAGGAATTTGACACCACCCGCTCCCTCTGATAAGCAAACTATGTTGAAGCAATGTGAAAACCTTGAGAAGGAAGTTCGATCCCTAAAACTTAACTTATCCTTCATGAATAGGTAGGTGATCAAAATGAAGTGGAAAGTATAGATCGTAGTCTTGATTGCCAATTAACTATTGACTTTTGGGCTAAAATATAAATAAGAACAGATGTGTTTAAATCATATGCTATAAATTTTCAGGAAGGATTCAGAACAAACAAAGCAGATAGAGGACCTTCAGAAGCAAAATAAAGATTTGGCAGATGAAAAAGAACGCCTCCTTGAAGAGATTGAAAGAATTATATCCGAAACTGGAAAGGTCTAATGTTCTCTCTCCCTACGTCGACTGTACTATTGATCATTGATCTTCTATCCTTCACGTTAACAGCGGCTTGTGTTACTATATAGATATCATAGAAACAATCTTTTGATCAGATTAAGACATATCTGGACCTTTTTATATTGTCGCAAATAAATAATAAGCACTATGTAACATCCCCGTCTCGAGCCGGTTCAATTAACATACATACGATAAAACAGAAAACAGCGGAAGACTTAACCTCTGAAAATACGAGCTAACTTTTTCTTTTTCTTTTTAAATTCTCATTCGTCGTAAACGAAAATCGGGCAGAGTTTCCTCTATAAATCGGACAACTGGGGATTTTCCAATCCCACACAGAAGCATTTCCTGATAAACAGTTTATACAAATATAATCAAATGTCCATCCATGGGCGCATGCATAACTTGGCTCAGTGCCACTATATCTAACCGCATGCAATCCAACACGTAAACATATCTGAATACTACCTTATCACATAACGTGCCTGAATACCCAAATGTACATGCATCAAAGCGACAGACGTGTACAAAACATATACAGACCATATACAAAATAAAGGATCAATATCATGATCCATCAAATGCGAAAATACTAAAATACATCAAACACTCCAAAAAGGTAGTAGCCTACAGCCACTCAAAATCCGATCTGTCAACTGCCTCAGCCACGTGTCGTGTCCCTGCCTAGTGAGGACTCACCGGGAATCTGGGCACCTGAAAATGTGTCCCCAAAGAGGGGTGAGATTACAAATCTCAATAAGCTCCAGGTTTATAGAGAATTCTCCATATCCCTGGCTCACTCCTGCATGAAAGTCAGATACAAAGTATACGAATACAACATATAACAGATATCATAACAGAACAGAGCATATATTCATATCATATCAGAGATGTGCGCCGTCATTCCCAAGGGAGGACCCCAAGCGGAAATCAACGCACGTGTTCCCGAGGGAGGACCCCAAAGCAGAACCAGACATATCAGAGGCGTACACCATCAGCCCCGAGGGAGGACCCCAAAGCGGACGTCCGGGTACTATACAATCAATGGCCAGAGATTGTTACAGAAATCATATTACAGAAGTCATATCAGAGCAAAACATATCATGTTATCAAATAACTCTATATGAATGCATCTATACAAAGCATCTAAATCACAGTCATACAGTCCAACCATAGTTCACTAACCATGGTGGAGCACTCAAGCAGGAAAAGACTCCTTAAACATAGAGCTTACCTCTTGAAGCTTTACCAATACGCTTACTTGTGGAACAAGTTACTTTTATCGCTTCAAGAGATTTCCGATCCTTCTCAATCCCTAGGCACACCTAGAGAATAATTTCCAATGCATCAATAAAATGATATTATGCCATGATTATTTCATAAGCACACACTTTATTGTTTACTTTACTTTCTTTATATTTTTGCCAATACTATGCCAATACACAAGTCTAGCCCATTTTAACCAATCATTCTTATAATTTCATGTATTGTACTCAACACTTTAACCAATTAATACATGCTTTATCTCTATTTATTTTTTACCCTATTAGGCCAAAAATCCTAGAAGGAAGGCTAAGGGTTTTCTTTCTTGTCCATTTGTTTTCCTTCACTTAATTTAATACTCTACATACATAAACGTACCTCCCCTAAATTCCAACAAAACTTTTGGAACTCAAGCCTTATAAACCATCAAGGCCGAGCCTCAAGGGGGGTAGGTTTCCAAAAGATTTCTTTCCAATTAATCATTCATATCACTTTATCACTTTACACTAAATTACAACATGTTTTTCCTTGTCAATAAATGCAATAAGAATTTACACACTAACCCCCTAAACTCTACAAGGCCGAGCCATCAAGGGGAGGAAGCATAAAATTTTCCTTCAATTTATTAAATACATAATCATGCTTATCCTTCCATTTACACATACAAATTATCACTTATTCCTCTTCATTACATTTTTAACCCACCAAACCTTCACATCCATGGCATATATATATGATTTTATAACTTATATAACCTCACATTAACATGGAAGTGAAGATTTGTTACCTCAATATCACAAATCAAGACCTAGGAGCCTTCCATCAAGTAGAACTTCATGGAAAACTTCATCTTCTTCAAGTGGTGAATAGTGCCACGGTTTTGGGAAGGAAAATAACTCCTCCTACACTCAACAATAGCTCACATGGAGGGTTGGAATGGCTTCATTGTGTGGTTTCCATGCATTTTCATGTAGTGGGTCATGTATTTTGGTGGAAGATTCAAAGGAAATCAAGCAAAAAAATCAACAAACCCTATCCCTTTCTCTCCCAAGTGCAGATCGGGTTTTAGAAGAGAAGAGAGAGAAATTGTTTTGAAAGTGAGACTAAGGTGACTTAAAAAGTGAGCACATGTGGCCTTTTACCCGGGTATTTTTCTTTCGCGTATTTTCACTTAAACTAACCCGGAACAAACTCAAAGCTACAAATATATTTTTATTTTTCTAAAATCATTTACATAAATTTTTATCTGTTACAAAACAATATTCATAATTCACAGTATGGTTTCTGCACCGCTTTTGACGAAATGCACTGTGAATCACTAACTGTACTTTATTTACTTTTGAAACTTAACACTTATAAACTTACCATTTTCTTGGGCCTATATTGACTTGCTTGGCATATATTGGACTTTCTTATTCTTATTTCATCAATTATTTATTTCTGGACTCTACCGGTTGCTTAAACAGCAGTACAAAATACCCGGTAAAAACACTATTCACGAGATTTTCACGGAAAGTGCCAGACTATACAATTTTTCGTTCTGAACTCATATTTGTCATCAGAATTTTCAAATTATGTTCCTAAAATTATTTTGCTCATTTTAAGCTCTACCGGTTAATTCACAAAACTGTAAATTCTCCGGCAGAACGCACTGTTCATAACATAGTCATGATTACAGTCAAAATACTCGAAATCGCTCACTGAATCTAATTATGGCATTTAAATCCTTAAATTAAATCTCTAACTAAGATTTACCAGTTAGGGTCATTATACACTATTTATCCTGTTTCATGTTTTGTCTCAATATTATTGTTAATATATTATATGAGTAACTGGGTAAACCCCTTGGAATAAAATAGGTATCTCTTGAGTATCTGTGATGAGATCACTATCATGAGGATTTAAGGATATCAGATGTTTATTCCTAATTTTATGTTCCTAGTCTAGAGACACTGAGAATGGGGATCAGTAATCTCGAGTAAGACTAGCACGACTTATCTACTTGTATTCGGATACAAGATAAAGACCTCATGAGTTACAGATATGAAGATGTCTTAGCTAAAGTCGTGGGTAGACCTATAAAGATATAGCTCGCACTGAACAGACCCACAAAGAGACTCTATGAGGAAATCTTACAAAAGTATCATTAGAGCAGTCTCTTAATATTTGGGTGTTTCTTTCCTTAGACCATAAGTTGTCACCTAGACTGTGTTCTAGAAAGCATGTTTTGATTGTATACCTCGTCTTCCTGAAACTTGGAGACTCATAGGTATACTTTTGGGCATGTCCTGAAAGAGCACAGGCCTAGGGTGATAAGCTGAAGGAATTCGTCAAATCTCTGTAAAGGATTAGGTTATCTGTAAACCGGAGAAATCGGGATGACATTTACAGGACTCAGGAATCTATGCATAGTAAAAGAGATCATGAGATGATCTGCCTTTAGAGTCAGTAAATTGAAGATTCTCTATTTCGAATTAAAGCTTACCCTAAACCGCAAGGGTTGATACATTTCCTCACCCTAGGTTTTAAGGGAAGGTAACCGAGACGAAAGGAAATAGATACAGTAACCAAATATATGTAATAGGATGATCATGTCATTAACCTAACTAGCTCTGGGGCAACAAAGCATTGCTAGTGCTCTGTGTTATCATTAAATGGGTTGTGGGCTTGTTGGGCCCAAGCCCATTTATATCGGTAGCTATGTTGGGCCTAATGGGTCACACACTAACACCTTATTGTCTTGATGAATATAACATTAAAGGTATTGGGCCTAATAAAGGTTGTTAGCCCAAGAAGAAGTTTGGAAGCCCACCTAAGAGGGAAAGGGCACATGGTACATGTAATGGGCTTGGATGGTCCAAGACATTATTAATTAATTTAATTAGTTAAATTAATTATCAAATATTTAAATTTTAAATTTGAATTTTGAATTTAAATGTTTGAACGTTTGAATTTAAATGTTTGAATTCGAATTTGAATTGGCTATGAAAAGTTGTTTCATAACAAAAGGATAAGATAAGATCTTGTTGGAACAAATCCCAAGTATTAAGAGGAGATCTTTGGGCATCATCCAAGGCTGATTTGGGGCGCTGATTTTGGGATCTTATGATGGTCATATGATCAACCAAATAAGCTCCAATCAGATTTGGTTGGTTGAGAGTAGGGGTGGCAAAACGGGCCGACCCGCCAAAAACGGGGCGGGGCGGGTTGACCCGCATTTGGATGGTGGGTTGAAAAGTTGAACCCACCCCGTTTTAAAGTGGGTTGGCGGGTTGACCCGCATCTCACCAAAAAAATAATTGGGTTAGCGGGTTGACCCGCCAAAATATTAATTCGAAAAAAAAATTATAAATGATTTATTAGAATATACATGTATATAATTACATCAAATTGCAAGCTAGGAGATTCAGTTGAGAAAGATGCCACTTTGTCATTGCTAGGGCGCATAGCCTGCTTTCAACAAGAAACCAAATCAATTAAGAAAGAAAATTCTGATAGTTACTATGAAGTTGAACCAGCTGCAGAACATGAAGGTGTGGCTATGTGGATACATCCCCAGATGAAATCTTCAAATGTGGTAGCAGCGCCTAAGGCTAAAACCATGGAACAAAATAATTCATCCACTGGTTCATTCCTGCTTGGACCAATTAGCGTTACTTAAACTTTTAACATTTTATTATATAATGTCTTATTTGGAATGTACCCTTTTATCTGTTGTCTAGTGTCAGCTCATGCAAATAATCCAAATATAATATTAAAACAACACCCACACAATCATA